GTTAAAAAGATGTCTGTGAACAAAATTCTAGAATTATTAAAACCAAACTGTTGGTACCTGACCATGACTCACACTCAACTCTCTTTCCTTTTCTTTACATATATCTGAGATAACAATACTGACCTACTTTACAGGACTGTCATGAGAATTATCAGCTTAAAAATACTCAGCATGCTGAGATGAAGAGAGCTTGTAATATGTATACTTAGCCACTTTTAAAATTGACATGAATTGAGACTTATGTCATGATGCAAACCACTCTGGTAATTACTTAAAAGTAAACTGCAAATATTTATAACACAAACAGTATCTCACATTGAAGAATATGCTCATTAATAAGTATATATTTTCTAAAACATTCAAATGTCTTTAAAGAAAGTAGGCAGAGTACTTTAGACAGGAAAAAAAGTGACTTTTCATTGACCACAGCAGAAAATAAAAATATTAATTGACATTTGCTCCTGATCCCTAGGCCTCTGGACCAGAAAGCTGTCCTCTCAGCTATAAAAGCAGTCAACAAGTCAACGTGCCCTACAGGGGTTGATGACTACCCTTCTCCTTCCCATCAGAGAGGCTGTGCAGCCCCACTCCCAGCCCCAACCACCTGCAATTCCTAATGAGGAAGAGATGGGCCCCTATCAAGGGCAGCGTTGAGATCGGAATATTTGCTACGGCACCTTCTGCTTTTGATATCAGAGTTATGCCCACGGAAACACATGTTTCAATATTACAAAGTCAGCAAAGGATTTCTTCTATTTCCTTTCAGCTCAGTTAGTTTGCTTTTCGGCAAAAGCTGATTAACATGACAGAGCTATTGCGTCCTTCAGATGCCCTAGAGCAACCTGATAAGCTGGTTCAAAGTGCTACTTCTCTGGGGTTAGCAGCAACTACAGCTCTGGGAATTGAGGCTTTTGAGATGCTCTGCTTTATAAACCTCATTTATCAAACAGCGGGAGAGCTGTTACATATGGTGATGGGCATTATGGAAACTCTGATTGAATACAAAATGTGAACTGGATTAAATTACCTACAAGAAGGAGAAAAACTAAGGAGGTGGTAAAGGAACCCGTCACAAGTATGAACCAAATACCGCTGCACAGAAATGTTAGTCTGTTTATAATTAGTTACCCTTTGGGTTTGCTATGGAAGGGTTTCCTGGGATATCTATGCAGAATTTTTTAAATTTAACATAGGTTAAACTAAATAATTATATCTACCACAGTTTTTGCCTACTCAAGACAGAAAGAAAGGTTAGAGGAGGTTTACATAAATTCAGACATCCCTGATAACACAAGGATCTGCTTATGCTAAAAATCCCAGTATGGGAAATCAGAGTATGTGTGGCAAAAGAGAGGTCCCTTGAGCAGAAGAGTAATGCTGACAACGTGGATGGGTGGGGATAAGAGAAGCACAGTAAACTGAGGCAAAATTTTTGAACATTTTTCTGTGGGCAACTAGTTTCTAATTTAGTAAAATACTTCAAGATTTGTTTAATGTTCGGTTACAGATTAGTCAAAAAATCATTTAGAAGAAAACTCATGTTTTGTTTGCTTCCTTTATTTAAAAAAACAAGGAGGCACACAAATCTTCCCATAAGGTAGCTCTAAGTCTTGCGATGACTTCATGGACAAAAACATCAGGAAATTAGTAATCATCCTACGCTGTCCTAAGCACTCAAACTCCTTGATTTTGTGGAGGAGACAGGCTGATTCCACAATGTGAGGGAGAGAATAAAGGGGAAAAAAGTCCTATGGGAGAGGAGTACGCACCACAGTACTAAGCCTAACACTTATTTTAAAAAGCCAGACATTGAGTTTAGATGGGGCTTTGAGAGCCTGCCGATAAAAAATGCTCCTGGGAAACGCAGGCCTCTACCTTTGGCCGAAGCACAAATGAGTGAATCATGGACACACCTGAGCTAGAACCCCAGGCCGCCTGACACGCTGGGGAGACATCTGGGCTTGCATGACCTGGAGTTCCAGTATCTGAGGTGGCCTGGAAGCACCCTCCCTGCGCCAGGCACAGAGACATAATGGCGAGGTCACACAAGGGCAGCATCCAGGAGGGAAGAAATCCGAGTCCAAAGGAAGCACAGTAGCCTCAGAAGCAGCAAGAGCCACAGGCAACAATCAGGTGTTCTCAAAGAGCGGGAAACAGCAGCGAAAAACACACCTTTCAAATTGCTGTGCGGGGCTTTATGCCACTGCTCTGCTGACAAGCATAGAATTCCTCCTCCCCCCAAAGGTGAATTCAGGTACCCTGCAACTTTGCCAGCTAGATACAAAGTGTAGAAACTGGTATTTCACAACTGGCAGGACAGACTCACGGCACATGACCACAGGATAGGGTTCTGTCCTTGTGCCCCCCCAGCAGCACCACCTTTTCCTTCCCCTCGCTCTTTCCAACCCTTCCTACTGCTAAACCCTTTGAACTGGGCACTGATGCTGACCTGAAATCGCAGACCCGCCTGTTGTCCCCAGAAGCAGACTCTCTGGGGAGGTGGCCTTCTTGAAAGGTCCCTCCCGAAGATCGCAGGGGTGACTCGGGGACGGCATTCCCGTGGGCCTGGCCAGCCCAAGCTTCCCGAAACAGGGCCCCCCTGTCACTGACGTCCCTTCCGTGCCTAGCAGCACCCCCCGTTATGGTTCTCAATAAACACATACAGAAAACAAGCTCATTCTTTTTCCCACTCCTTAAAAATAAACTCAACGGCACCCAGATTTAGAGCACACCTACCGAAGAAAAAGTTAAAGAAAGGGAGGTGCCCACCCACAGAATCTTTCCACTCAAAGAGGCACTATTCTGCAGCTGCCTCGGAGTTTATAAGTAACAGACAAGCTTAACCAGCAACAGAAATTTCTGGAGTCCATTGTAATTTACACTAGAACCTGGCTTATTCCAAATTTAGACGACAAGCACGGGCTAGATTCCATTATTTAATCTGAAAGCTTTCCTGGCACACCTTTAGCTCAAGTCTCTCGCCATCACTTAGCCCAGCCTCCAGGGAGTGGGTGCAGGCCAAGCCAAGTGCAGGAGGACGCAGGCTGACCGCTCCCAGGTCGGCCACCAGCTCCAGCCCGGGGGGCTCTGGCCCGGAGAGTTGGCTAGAAGAATGGCAGATGGCACTCAGGAGTATTCACCAGGGTGCCATCTGCAGATCTTTGCTATCACTGGCCTGCAAGGGTTTCATTTCCTTTTTCAGCTGCCACCGCAGGTCCAGTCCTCCAGCTCCAGGTCCTAGGACCAAGGTGTGCAGTGAGGCGCCCCTGAGTGCCGGTGGCCTGACAGAAGGCAGTCACAGAGAAAACAGACAACAGTGGGGTTGGGGGGAGGGCGGGGACAGCAACCTTCACAGGCTAAAGTGGCTTTGGAAAGACTTCTTTATTAGAAGTTACTTCATCAAGAGCCACAGAATGGTAGGAAGTCTCCTTTTAAAGGAAAAGAGCCTGGGCTCAAAAATAGAGTCAGAGAGAGGTAATGCCTCCTCCATGAGATGTGTATGGCTCCAGGGTTCACACTCACCATGGCGTCTCTGCAGGAATTACTGGAAAGATCTCTTCCTGGTTCCAAAACACGCCCTTCACAGGCTGGCCAGGGTGGGGGCCTTACGTTATCTTTTAATGTGTATGTGTGCTCAGCCATGCCCAACTCTTTGCGGCCCCATGGACTGTAACCCACCAGGCTTCTCTGCACATGGAATTTTCCAGGCAAGAATATTGGAATGGTCTTAATATTCTCCTCCTTCAGGGGATCTTCGCAACCCAGAGATAAAGTCGGTCTTAAATGTAGACTTTCCCCCAGGAAGGAGCACGCCTTTGGGTTGGGACCGCCCATCAACCCCTCTGCAGGTGTTAGCTGTTAGATACTGGCTCTCACCTGGGAAGAGGGTAAGCAGAGACGCTTCACGTAAAAAACAAGTGAGTTATTACAGGAGGAGGGGGGAAAAAGACCTGTTTTTTTCCCAATATGAAAAGTGTTTTTAAAAGTCAAAAACCTTGCCACCACCATAATAGCTATATATTATGATTTTGTATTATATTAATTGGTTAAACACATAATGATTAGGATTCACTAACTCAAATAATGAACTGGTAGCACTATTAATTGAATTATTTCAGTGAACAACAGGATTTACTTCCATTTGCAAACACGTAGCATCAGGTGGGTTGTACACATAAAGGTGTATATATGCATGGTCCATACTACGAACCCCTTCCCCAAACACCCCAGAGTACAGGGCCCACTGGTTAGGAACCCCTGGCTAGAACACTGGGTGTTGCTCCAGGTGGGCAGGCCTAGGGGTTGGAGAGTGGTTCTCAGGGAGGTTCTAATGAGGGAACCTGGAGGCAAAGAATGGGGAAAGAGCCCAGAAACCATGCTTCACACACTTCATAATTTATCCTTAAGATCAGCCTTGCAGCCCTTTATCCAAGGGTCAACAAAAAAATTAACAAATGTAAATTAATACTAACACTTGAACAGGGGAATAATAGAACATAGCCACTTTGCCGTGGGAGGGAATAAGTATGAGAAAAGAGGGAAGCAGTCACAGAAAAAAAAAAAAAAGAACAAGCTCATCCTGATGCCCAACTGACTTTCCTAAAAGAACAAGCTCATCCTGATGCCCAACTGACTTTCCTAAAAGAACAAGCTCATCCTGATGCTCAACTGACTTTCCTAAAAGAACAAGCTCATCCTGATGCCCAACTGACTTTCCTAAAAGAACACAAGAGAAAAAGCATCGAGACTAAAAACAGCAAGGCTCTTCTTTCATGAAGCTTTGGAATCTTGATTTGGATAGAATAAAAAAAGACATCAAGTAAGAAAACAGCACACGCTATTGTGAAAAATACTACCAAGTCACAATTTAAGACCCTCCCTCACCATTTCTCACCAAAAGGAGAGCCACCCTAAAAGGTCAACACTCGGTAAGAAAATCCTCACCAGCTCCTCGGGCCCCAGCCTGCCCCCAGTCACCGAGGCCGACGGGGGCCACTTACCCGGCTTGTTCCCTTCCCTCTCGTGGCCCAGCTGTCCCTTGGTGTTCACACCGCACGTGTAAACTTCGCCATCCTCCAGCAGGAACACGGAGTGGTTTCCTCCACAGGCCACTTCCTTGACGCTTCTGTCGGATATAAATCCACACACCTGTGGCTCCGCCACAATGCCCTGCAGGTTCGGGCTGATCCCAGGTTGGCCCAGAGACCAATACCCCCAACATAACATTGTTCTCGTCGTTCAGGAAGTCATGTAGCCTAGAAGAAAGCTTCAAAAAAAAAAGAGATGGAGGTTCAGAAAAAAGTCACTTTAAGGAATAAACGTCATCAATTCTAAAAAGCTTTCCCCTTAATAGTCTTCATATACCTTGGATCTCAAAATAAAACGTATTAATATTGCTTCAGTAGTTATAGTGCTATTTTTGTGTTTTGGTAAGAGTTTTTAAGATTTCTAAATAAATTTTGCTTTCTGTCAAGGAACAGTGAACACAGAATGCAGTTTTCGGATCACTGATGAACTGAGTTCAGGTGACTTGTTGAAACAATCTTTGCAGAGCACGACGGCAATACCTATTTTGAAATTACCCTCGTGACTTCATTTTACCCTTTCTTGTTGTACCTTTCCTTTGAGTTTTCTGGCAGGGGGTGCGGGAGGGTCTTTTTTTTTAAGTTTGAACTAATTCCTTTATGGAGTCAATCATTAGCTTATAATAATTCACCACTCAAACATGAGCAATGAGAAAAAAAAATGTTATCTTCTCTGCCATTCCCTCTCACACATCCTTCAGGATGTGGGTCAAGCTTCACTTCCTACCTGAGAACCTCTGGGGACCACTCCAGCCACAGTCAGCCTGCATCCCTCTGACACATTTACTATAATGCCTTGATGGAATCTTTCTCTATCTTTTACAACTGAACTCCTCAGCCAGATTTTAACTGCCTCAGGCACAGACCACAGCACAACATATACCGCTCTGATTTAGCAGGTATTCAACCTTTGGCTGATTATAGCTGACTACCCCAAAGTTTTACTACCATTTAAAAATTCAAGTTTCCCTTGCATATAAGCAAAAACGAAAGCTCATCTCCCTCTCTCTACCGGTTTGCACCCACTAGGAGGGCTATAAGGCTTCCCTGGTGACTCAGCGGTAAAGAATCCACCTGCAATGCAGGAGACGCAGGTTCGATTCTTAGGTAGAGAAGATCCCCTGGAGAAGAAAATGGCAACCCACTCCAGTATTCTTGCCTGGGAAATCCCATGGACAGAGGAGCCTGGCAGGCTACAGTCCATGGAGTTGTAAAAGAGTCAGACATGACTAGCTTCTTTAAACAAACAACAACAGGATGACTATAATCAGAAAAGAACAGATAATAACAAATGCTGGTGAAGATGAGGATAAATTAGAACCCTCCTACATTGCTGGTAGGAATGTAAATGGAAAACAGTCTCGAAATTCCTCAAAAGGCTAAACACAGTTACCTTAGGATCCAGTAATTTCACTCCGAGATATATATACAAGAGAATTATAAACATATTTCCACAAAAAATGTACATGAATGCTCACAGCAGCACTGCTCATAGTACCAAAAGATGAAAATAACAAAAATTTCCATCAATTGATGAAATGAAGTGTGGGGTTTCCACACAATGGAATGGTATCTGACTACCTATATAATACTGTATGACTGAACTCGTCAGGATTTCTGGAAAGGCATAAAAAGGCCCAAAATAAAATATAAAACTGCATCTTAATTTACTGTCTTAATCAGGAAGCTCTGCTTCTGCTTTTTATTTCTGTGTAGAGACTAAAACTAAAATAAAATCTTAAATTTAAATATTATTCTTTGAGTTAAATGTAGTGATGGGAAAAATGGGAGGAGAGATAAAATGCTAACTAGGGAGGGAATGGGGGTGGGGTGGAGGTAGGATAGACATTTTATACCAGAAGCAAGATTATATAATCTAGTCATTAATTTAATTTTCCCAGTCTGCCCAGCTGCTGTATTTATACTAATTTCTTTCTTCATTTTTAATGTTTCATGAGTTTATCTTATCTCTCCTACCAATAATTATATAAACAATCACAGTGCTGCCTATACCACCATATGCCTATACCATCACTGTGCTAATAAGCCTTTTATATCATTATCTCTTTTCATCTTAACAACTCTGCCCTAAGCACTATTTTTAGCTTCATTTTCAGATAAAGCAAGGCTCAGAGAGATTAAGAAGCATTCCCAAGGTCACAGAGCTGGAAGGAACAGAACCAGGCTATGAATCTAGGCCTGATGCTAATGTGCACACTCTTACCCACCGGGTTACACTGCCACCTAAGCAGATTTATATTTCACCTAAAGAAGTAAGGGGCTTCCTTTGTAGCTCAGTCGGTAAAGAATCCGCCTGCAGTGCAGAAGACCCGGGTTCGATCCCTGGGTTGGGAAGATCCCCTGGAGAAGGAAATGGCAACCCGCTCCAGTATCCTTGCCTGGAAAATCTCATGGACAGAGGAGCCTGGTGGGCTGCAGTCCATGGAGTCGCAAAGAGTCGGGCACGACTGAGCGACTAACATGCTACATGCAAAGAAGCAAGAACACGCACAAAAACATATGGAATGATGCAGTGAGTATACAACACACGGTGTCTTAGAAACTTGAAAACCCTCTGAGAGTGAAAGTACTCCTAGTTGAGAGATACAGGATGAGATTAGGCAGTTGTAGCATTAACCCATCCCCTTAACCAGCCAAGTACAATATGTCTAGAAATATTGTACCAAGAAGCATGACTGTATGTCTATATAAGCAAAGATCTATAAACAATGCTCACAGCAGCTTTATTCATATGAAACTAAAACAGCAACAACCCACATATCCATCAACAGACAGTACTCATCAATAAAATAAAAAGGAACATTATTCATCCAATAAAAAGGGGATAGAGGCCATGACTGAAAAGCAAATGTAAGAGAAAGCTGCAACCCAAGATGGTGCAACCTTTCTGAAGAAGGAAGCTTTGCTCAAAATAAATGCCTCAAAGGTGTTATCGACTGCCCTTTTGTCTAATCTCTGTCTCTCTTCGAGAACCCTATGAACAGTATGACAAGGCAAAAAGAGAGGACACTGAAAGATGAACTCTCCAGGTCAGTAGGTGGCCAATATGCTACTGGAGAAGAGTGGAGAAATAACTCCAGAAAGAATGAAGAGACGGAGCAAAAGCAAAAACACCACCCAGTTGTGGATGTCACTGGTGCTGGAAGTAAAGTCCAATGCTGTAAAGAACAATATTGCACAGGAACCTGGAATGTTAGGTCCATAAATCAAGGTAAATTGGAAATGATCAAACAGGAGATGGCAAGAGTGAACATCGACATTTTAGGAATCAGTGAACTAAAATGGACTGGATGGGTGAATTTACCTCAGATAACCATTATATCTACTGCCGTGGGCAAGAATCCCTTAGAAAAAATGGAGTAGCCATCATAGTCAACAAGAGAGTCCAAAATGCAGTACTTGGATGCAATCTCAAAAACGGCAGAATGATCTCTATTCACTTCTAAGGCAAACCATTCAACATCACAGTAATCCAAGTCTGTGCTCTGACCAGTAATGATAAAGAAGCTGAAGTTGAACTGTTCTATGAAGACCTACAAGATCTTCTAGGACTAACACCCAAAAAAGATGTCCTTTTCATTACAGGGGACTGAAATGCAAAAGTAGGAAGTCAAGAGATACCTGGAGTAACAGGCAGATTTGGCCTTGGAGTACAGAATGAAGCAGGGCAAAGGCTAATAGAGTTTTGCCAAGAGAACGCACTGTCATAGCAAACACCCTCTTCCAGCAACACAAGAGAAGACTCTACACATGGACATCACCAGATGGTCAATACCGAATTCAGACTGATTATATTATTTGCAGCCAAAGATGGAGAAGCTACATACAGTCAGCAAAAACAAGACCGGGAGCTGGTTGTGGCTCAGATTATGAACTCCTTACTGCCAAAGTCAGACTTAAATTGAAGAAAGTAGGCCATTCAGGTATGACATCAATCAAATCCCTTACAATTATACAGTGAAAGTGACAAATCGATTCAAGGGATTATATCTGATAGAGTGCCTGAAGAACTATGGATGGATGTTCGTGACACTGTACAGGAGAAGAAATCAAGACCATCCCCAAGAAAAAGAAATGCAAAAAAGCAAAATGGCTGTCTGAGGAGGCCTTACAAATAGCTGTGAAAAGAAGAGAAGCGACTGCCCTGCCACAGTGGAGGCCCCAGCAACGAGAAGCCCGTGCTCACCGCAGCTAGATAGAAGCCAGCCACTAAGACCCAGTGCAGCCAAAACAAGAAAATAATAATAAATAATTTAAAAAAAAAAAAAAAGAAGAGAAGCGAAAAGCAAAGGAGAAAAGGAAAGATATTCCCATTTGAATGCAGAGTTCCAAAGACTAGCAAGGAGAGATAAGAAAGCCTTCCTTAGTGCTCAGTGCAAAAAAATAGAGGAAAACAATAGAATGGGAAGGACTAGCCATCTCTTCAAGAATATTAGAGATACCAAGGGAACATTTCATGCAAGGATAGGCACAATAAAGGACAGAAGTGGCATGGACCTAACAGAAGCAGAAGATATTAAGAAGAGGTGGCAACAATACACAGAAGAACTATATACAAAAAAGGATCTTCATGATCCAGATAACCACAATGGTGTGATCACTCACCTAGAGCCAGACATCCTGGAATGCGATGTCAAGAATGCCTTAGGAAGCATCACCACAAAAAAGCTAGTGGAGGTGATGGAATTCCAGCTGAGCTGTTTCAAATCCTAAAAGATGATGCTGTGAAAGTGCTGCACTCAATATGCCAGTAAATTTGGAAAACTCAGCAGTGGCCACAGGACTGGCAAAGGTCAGTTTCATTCTAATGTCAAAGTAAGGCAATGCCAAAGAATGTTCAAACTACCGCACAACTGTACTCATCTCACACGCTAGCAAGGTAATCCTCAAAATTCTCCAAGCCAGGCTTCAACAGAATGTGAAACGTGAATTTCCAGATGTTCAAGCTGTATTTAGAAAAGGCAGAGGAACCAGAGACCAAATTGCCAACATCCGTTGGATCATCAAAAAAGCAAGAGAGTTCCAGGAAAACATCTGCTGCTGCTGCTAAGTCACTTCAGTCATGTCCAACTCTGTGCGACCCCATAGATGGCTGCCCACCAGGCTCCCCTGTCTCTGGGA